TTGGTCGAGATGATTGGGATGACGCCGTGCAACCAGAACTTCCTAATTGCGTATGCCCTCATCAGGGACGAGAAAGAGGCCAGTTACGACTGGGTTCTAGAGAAGTTGAGACTACTGATAGGCCAAAGCGTATATCCTTATGTTGTTGTCAGTGACAGAGAGTTGGGTTTACTCACTCCTATTCAGAGGCATTTTCCTGAATCAGCCTACTTACTCTGCACGTGGCACATCAACAAGGATGTGGAAGCCAAAACCTACCAACTATTTGGGAAGAATAAAAAATTCTAGGAGATTTTCACGCACAGTACGTGGAAGGCGATTGCAGAGGCCAGTACGTTCGATGCCTACAACGATGCCGTTGCCGAGCTGCGCGCAAAATATTCGAAGTCTACAGAGGTGATACGGTATGTGGAGGGCACATGGTTAGTGCACCGCGAGAAGTTTGTGAAGGCTTGGACCAACCGAGTGACACATTTTGGAAACACAACTTCCTGTAGGGTGGAGAGTGCCCACTCTGCGTTGAAGGAGTGGCTTCAGACGTCCACCGGCGCGCTCGATACGGTTTGGCAGAAGATTAATAAGCATATCGATAATCAAGTACGTACTGCAATTTTTAAATGCGTTATTATATTACTGCATTAATTAATTATAATCTAACGATATGTAACGTATTATCAGGACGGCGCTTGAGGCCTCGAGATCTAAGAAGAATACACGGTATAAGGAAATCCGTTTCGCGAGCGTGATATTGAGGGTCTCGCATTACTGTCTGAGTTTATTGGACGCTGAGCTTACGAGGATGCACAAGTTGGGCACCGATGTTTTGCCACAATAAAAACCGGTCAAATCCGGTAAGTTGTAGGTAAATTGGGCACGAATTCCGGGTTTTAACAAGTTTCAGGGCACTTTTGCCAAACCCAAAAGAAGTTGTCCACATTTGCCACACACGCATAATTACAGGGCACAAAATGTAATTTTGCCCTGTTAAAAACCTTCTAGAAAAATGACTAAGTGAGTTTAAAAGGAATTTTGCGTTAGGGTATACTGTGAAAGCTTGTCTTTCAGTTTCTGCCAATACCATTTTGAATGAGAATTATGTTTTTAGTCAAGTATGTGTTTGCAGTTTATTTATTTTTGCGAGCATAGTTCCCTTTATTTTACACTGTAGATAACTTAAGTTATGGTATGACGCTTCTCATTCAACTTAAGTTTAGCAAATTAAAAAAAAAAAATCATTCAACTTAATGTTTTACAATAATAATTAAAAAAAAAAACATTCATTACATTATTATTGGACATTGTCGTAATCCAACTTAAACTTAGCCAGCTGTTCTTCGACTTCCGCCGCCTCCGGACAGTCTGGAACAATCTGCTGCAAGGTCGATGTAATGCCCAAAAGACGGTCCACCCACTAAAAAAATGGAAGAATGAAAATCTAAGACTAAAATTTATTAAAAAAAATTTTTTGTAATGAGTTAACATTAATTAAAATTTAGTAACCAACTTACATAGGCGGTATTGACACGCGTTGGGACCTCGTTCTCGTCCGGCAGCTCCTCGCCCATGAGAGTCGGATGGGAAACCCGACTGTACCACTGCTGGTAATCCTCAGTCGCCTCCCCGCGATCCTGTGTGGTGTGGGTCAACATACCGGTGTTGACCGTCCCAGACATCGGGAACTGGGTCCAGGCACCTACTGCACCAGCCTCAGAATGCTCAACCTTGTAGTTTCTAGACTCCCAAGCACGTACTGCACTGATTGGCGGGCATATAGGGGGAGGGACAGTCTGGACATACCCCAGCTGACGCAGACATCGCGCAGGCAAGTACGGCTCGACGACATCGCGGTATCGAATCCATCTGCTATAAAGAGTCCTCGGCTCTATCGCATCTGGGCTGGAGCTGCCGTATGGCAACCATTGCACCTGTTCACAATTGCATAAGAGCATTTATAAAAATAATTATATTATTTTAAATAACGGGTAACTAAATTTAAATAAAATAACTTCACGTACATCGGAGACAGTGAGTCTGTCGAGGCGCCGACGGATGGCTGTGAGCCGATCGTCTGACCGTGGCGCATTCCCTACGCTCCACGAGCGTGATCGTGCGAGACAGTCAGGACCGATGGGTAGACGCCCCCGGGGTCGGAAATCGGGGAAATACTCATATATCCAGGACTGCAGAAGAGTCAAGCAGCCCGACATCTGGGCAGAGTCCCCTCGGCTGGCAATACCTAGCTGTCTGTACATGTATGCCAGCGTAGCCGATCCCCATGAGTAACCCCCAATCAAATCCAAGCCGTCGAGCACCTCGTGCAGGAGCTTGGGGGTCACTCTACTACCACTCTTGTCGACGAACAAAGTGGTAGCCAGCATCACCCACATCCAGGCACCCGCCTCATCCCTAGCCGGCCGGCGTTTCCCCCTGAATGCCCCCAAAATAGCGGCTTCGGACACCGAACCACGCTGCCAGAACGAACTCATGAGTTCGCCCTTGGTGACCGAAAGTATCGACATGCCGAGCCCATGGCAGGCGTCCGAATCCGGGTCCTCAGCGACCACGACTCCCTCCACTGGAACGCCCAAAATGGCCCGGACGTCATGCAACATGATGCTCATCTCACCAAAAGGCATGTGAAACGAGTTAATATCCGGCTGCCATCGCTCCACAAAAGCAGAAAGGAGTGGGGTGTCCAAGTGGGTGTGCATGGAGTCGACCAAATGTGACAACCCGGTCTGGTCGAGAAGACCTCCCGCATCAGAAGACATCTCTTCACGCCAAGCCTTCAGATTCTCGATGGCTCGCAGTCTGTTGTGGCATTTCAGCGGTCCCCCTCAAATTCCCACTCCACATGCGGGAGGCAACGTGCCCAAGAAAGCTAGGGATGACACTCCCATCAATAGGCCCACCAGGCACTGGGCCTCTAACGATCCAGGGTGCATCATCATCGGTCCTAGCTCGTTTGCTAGTACCTGCATTAAAGTACAACATATCTGTATATATTGACTTGCTGGCAGATGCATTAAATAAAATATATTTAATAAAACATATTTCATTAGTTACGTTACATTTTACATTTTACGTTATTATTATAAGCATATATAATTTATAATTATTAATATTAATTTTTGAATTTATAATTAATTACAATTTATTCAACTTACCCTAAATAATTACAAAACAATAAATAATATTTACCTGATGAGGATGCAGATGGGCCAAAACGCCCCCCAGCCTGTCGTTGAGGAGCAGGCTGTGTGGGACGAACAACATGTACCGGACGAACATGCTGTAGAACAGGTTGTACCGGACGAACTGGCTGTACAGGAGGACGAGGGTGGTTAGGAGCTGTAGGCTGCGCGTGGTCCTGATCATCTGAAGAGTCGTCCGAGTCATAGTCCTCTGGACCTGGCTCCCTCTCGCCGTACGACTCATCATCAGCATACCCCTGCTGACCATAAGGTAAGGGTACGCGTGCGCGGGGGGGTATCGACTTCCCTGCGTAGCGGGGAAAAGCACATCCCGGCTGATCGTACGGTCCTGGTGCCGGGGGCATCGTCCTGCCCGCCTGGCCAGGACAATAAAATCCATGTTCGCCGTACGGGAGGGCTCCGTGGGGTCGCGAACTATCTGGCTGGCCCTCAAAATGATATGGACCAATGGGCACTGGTGCGGGAGGGCGGGAACTCTGGCTAGCCTGACGAAGCTGTACCCTACGAGCCTCATCGATCAACGCCTGCCTTTCCGTGTCCCTCTCCCGACGAACGGACGCATTGACACCCCGACTTCTAGTGTGTCGGGTGCCAGAACCATCATAATACTCATCGTACGCCTCGTCGTCGTCCCTGGCATTAGATTGTCCAGGTCTGCCAACACCCTGAATCAGAAATATAATTATTAGATTTTTCCAATGTAATGATTATTCTAATAACTATTAAAGTAGATTATAATTCATTTTTCTTTTCATATATAAATTTTATTAATTGTTATTATAATCATAATTGTTGAGATTTATAATAGTTATTATAATTTTTTAGTTCAATTATTATAATTAACATTAATTTATAATTATTATTATATTTAATTATAATTATCATTACACATTATAATTATTATTTCTTATAATATTATTATTATAAGCATATATAATTTATAATTATTAATATTATTTTTCAAATTTATAATTAATTATAATTATTATAATTATTTATTATTATAATTATGATTTGTAATTAATAATAATTATAATAATTATTATTATTATTTATTATTATAATTTATAATAATTATTATTATTTATTATTCTAATTTATAATATTTATAATTATTATTATAATTTATAATTTATAATTTATAATAATTATAATAATTATTATTATTATTTATTCTTATTATTATTATTATTATTATTTATAATTTATAATTTATAATAATTATAATTATTATTATTATTTAATATTATAATTTATAATTTATAATAATTATAATTATTATTATTATTTATTGTTATTATAAATATATATGCTTATAATAATAATTATAAATTAATGTTAGAGAGATAGAAAGTTTAGAGAGATGAAATTCAAAAAAAGGTTAAGGGCAAAAGAGTAAATGGGGGGAGACGGTGACTAGTAAAAAGGGGGCGGTGAATAGCGATTGAGCAGAGAATAGATGGGAATTGACAAAACGGTAAATGTGGTGGATAAAAGAAGATGAATAATAGCAATGCGCATTGGATTTTGCACTAGTATTTGTCCACAAGGAGTTCCCAGAAAGATTTAATATAATTACAGACATAAATTGACGAAATTCTTCTTCAATTCTAGTAGAATGTTCAAGACTAGCAAAAGCAGATGAACATTTACAAGGTTTGCATATTATGATAGATAAAATAATCGCATGGAGTCAAGTTCTCAAGGAGAAACGAAATATGGAAACTCTCCATATATAAAAAGAATACAAAAATCCCTAATGGAGATAGAACCTGTAGATACAANCTAATGTCTCTTCATTTCGCGGAAAATATTGGACACCTTTGGGGATAATCTCGGCAGGAATTTAAACAACTGAAAAAAATAAACAAACGAATAATGGGTCAGAATAATGTCACCAAATGAAAAACACCAACATTATTGGAAAAGTTGTTTTCAGGAATTGACATGTAAAACTTAGCCTACTCAATCACTGCTTGATAAAGGATATCACGAGGCAAACGAACAAGCTAAGCCACCTCAGTTTATTGAGAAGAATCTCATAATAGGCCAGATTGGTTTAGAGATACTGATGCATTGCAAACTACCTCTAAAGTTTGGCCTATTTTTGTAAAGCATATAAAATAAAAAAGAAAAAGAAAACCTGAACTCAATGGTATTTTTGCCATTATCCTGAATTTTATGTGTTAAAACACAGATTAAAAAAAAAAATAATAAAAAAAATACATACCCACAGCTTGACACAAGCATCAATTATAACAGGAACTAAGCAGACAAATATTGTTATGGCAGCCTTATCCACCTCAAATCCATAGTGCTCAACAAGAACCTCTAACAATGTCTGCCAACCTGATTCAGAATGATAACTGCATGTTGCAACGAAAAATAATGAAGAATTTGGAGGCTGTGCAAACCAGTATTAAGCTTCAGGTATGGAAATAATTCTGCCTCTACTAGCATTCAAATAATATCAAACCCCATCATAAAACAATAAAATGTGATGCAGGTGTATATGGAAAAGCACAGAATTGTACCCTAAGAAAATGTCGGTGATAAGTATGATAAGAAATGCCTTCCCAGTGTCTGTGATATTATTCACTATCTTATAACCTGTAAACTTCAGCAAAGCTACCTGCAGAGTACCAGTTGGAAGAGTAAAAAACACCACCGATATAAAAAAGGATCATTCTCAATGTGGCTTTTATAAGTTCAAAAACAATGAAAGATATAAATCTATAACTCCATTGTACCATTTCCTGTCAACTATATATACTTCCCTGATGTTTGAGCTAACTGTTTCTAAGGCTATGTTTATCGGTGACCCAATGTATTGGGTCAGCCACAAAATGACAAAAAAAAATTAAAAAATAAAGAAAAAATCACAATGCGTGACCCAAGGTCATATTGGTCACAACCGGTTTAGAGAGCCCCCATGGGACACTTGTCCAATTTTTATTGGATAAGTGTATATTTTAAATAATACAAAAAGATAATTTATATTATTAGGGGTTAATTTATATTTTAAATAATAAATAAAAACACCGAAATTCGTATTTTTACATTCTCTATAAATAGAGACCACATTTGATATGTTTTGGAACACAATGGTAATTTTTCTATTTGATAATGGTAATTGACGTGTGATTTTATTCGAAGTGTTTGTAACTTGTTTAATTACTTTCAATATTTTATTTTAATTTTTGTAATACTAATTTTAAATTGAATTTGTAAGTTTTTTAATTATATGGTAAAATACTAATTTTTTTAAAATCATTATTACTTTAATTAATTTATTTTAATTAATTTGTCACAACTAAAACAATAACATCATTCAAGTTTAGATAAATTTAATAAATAAATAAATAAAAACAAAATAAATATTTTAGGTTGGGGATAAAGATAAGTTGGGTTGTGCGTGTAGGTGGAGGAGAGAAAATAATTTTTAATTGTTAGGTTGTGAATAAAAATGGTCTAACCTGTTTTCTTCCCATTTGTATTTTGTTTGGCTTTACTTTGGGATGCAAATAAAGTAATTTGTATTTTGTTTGGCGTTACTTTGGGATGCAAATAAAGTAATCTAAAAATAATAACACAAAAAAAAAAAAAAAAAAAAAGNAAATCTCCCTTTGTGGGATAAGCCTCCACCAAAAATACATTTCCATGTAATGAATAAGAAAAAAGCATGATCCTATTTGAGTAAATGAAACTGAACAACAAAGGAAGGCTTGTGATTAAAGTGAAAGAAGAGAGCAGATTATTTGTGATAGATAACTCACTTGGCTCTGATTGAAGTATAGCAGAACAAACAATGAGATCCCGAAAACCATATCTGACCATATGTTAGCAAATGCTCTGCGGTTCTCTAATCTCCATTCATCACGCAACTCTAACCTGATAAGGAACAAGCAAAAGATTAATAATTGCCTCGCCAGACAATCTTTAAGTTGTAAAAAAATACAAATATCACAGAGCATCCGTCTGACCGAACCACAAGTATCACTAGAGAAAAATATTATCTGTAGAAAGAAAGCCCAAATATATATTTTTTTTTTCTTTTCTCCTTTTCAATCCATTAGATGTTTCTACTTCAGTAAACAGTTCACAGCATAAAAGCACATTGAAACACATATCCAATAAAAATACTTACGCCTTTTGTCGTAATTCTGAGTAAAGCTCCTCATCAGAAAGAGGAGGAGATTTCCCTATCTCTACTTCAAACCGATACCGTGCTTTCTCAAGATTTAGAGATTTGACCATTTCAAGCTTCTGATTCCTCCTCACGTCAAGCAGCTGAGCAGCAAGTGGTACAGTCTTCACATATCTATTTAGCATAATGTAGTGGTTAGTCGAGATCATTCTTTATACAACAATGCAACAATTAAAGGTCAGGAAAAGTAGCACAGACCAGTTATAAAAGTTCTATGCTGTAAAAACTTTTACAGAATGGAGAAAGTGATTCCGCCTGTTTTAGATTATGCAAGTGACATGAAATTTTTAACCAATTTTTGGTAGATATTTTAGCAATAATCCTGAGTGAATTCTAGAGTGAATGAATTCTGGAAAGGCTACTGACAGATTACCATTTGCTATTTTCAGAAATAAAGGAAGGAAATTCTGTCTAGGTTACAAGGATTCTGAGTTTTGATCTCAATGTGGTCTATAAGATCAACAAGTTGAATTCAAATATGCAAACTTAAGTTGTATACTAACATTATTTTGACTGATATGGACAGCATATGAGCACCCGAGTAGATAAAACACAAATAAGCAGTACATAGACAGTAAAAAGCAAACGAAGATCGGTACTAACTGTTGTTTTTAGGCAGACATATTATTTCTGTAGAATGGCTACCATAAGAATTTACTTTCTTTTATGAATCAATATATATTGCCAGCTATATTATTACTTCTTTACTGCAGTTCCTATGAAAATGACAGCCTTGTTATGGATTTATCACAGAAACAATATTAGGTCTTAAAGACGATAATTTTTTTCCTTGAATTATATGTGGTGAATATCGCCTATCAATTATCGGCCATGTGAAGTGAAAAAATAAAAAATAAAAAAAAAAAGAAAGAAAATTGATGTTCAAGTTAGCTTGTGTCCGTAATCCAAGAATGAGAAATTACTCTGCATTGGGTTTTTTAAGTACTGCTTATGCATTAAGATATTATTACATACCTGTCCAGAAAAGGCATCATAACATAGTCGTGAACCAAGAAATCCAAGGCCCATGGGACAATGACCAGTACAGCCAAGAATTTAGCCTGAAATGAGTAAAGAAAAATAAAATAGAAGGTCCAAAAGAATTTCAGTACACAAAGCTCTACACACGATTATAATTATATGGTTGAGCCATAATACTTCCAAATCATCAAGAGCACTTTATATATAAATTTACAATAATATAAGTTCCAACGTCACACAAGCAATGGGCTATAAATGCATGCAGCTGATTTACTATCATCGAGCTCAAATATTTCAAAAATTGTGATGAATTGATTACTCTCGTATATAATGCTCCCTCAACACAATTACATAGAGAAATGGCATTTGCCTTTACCAATTGAGGTCCTTGAGAAACTCATGAACATGTTCCAGCTATATCAGACACAATATAGCTTGTATTCATGCGGAATAACCTAACATTCACACATAACGCAGCTTGCTAGAGTATGGAATGAATTGGTGATTTTACTTCGGTATACAAGAAGGTTATAATCAATTATATTTGAATTTAATCAGTTCTCCAAACTAAAAAATAAAAATAAAATACAGCTAGATAATTAAAGATGATAAATTATATGGTTGACCATGGTCCACCTTGCAACGTGGATCATGTTCCCCAAAAATACGTTGTTTTGTACCCTTAGTTTAAATGGTAGCACAACGGCAATTAGAAGATCTTCAAAAAGTCCACGAAGTACCATAGACACTATTGATCAAATGAAGTTACAAGAGCATTTTCGTAAGTTAGTTACTGTATATGTGGATAAATTCTTATTCTCTATAGGTAACTTGCAAACAAGCTCATCCACATTTAAACATACCCAATTTTAGGAAATCATAATGTTTAGTCATTTGAGATCGTTGACTTCATGCTCTTACACTGGCCTCAATTTTAACAAATTGCAAGTATCCACTCATAGCACAAGTATTTGTCAAACCAAGTTTTCTCCTAGGTGTGTGTTTAACAGAAACTACCAGAGAAGATATATTATAAGCACTGACCTAATTAATTTATTGGATTTTTTTTCCAGAACATCAGTGTATAAAGAAGAACAAAGCTAATTTTACACTAACCTTCTATCTTTCATACTACAAGGCTTGAAACTGATGCACAAAATGTGGAATGCCGACACTAATTTTTCTCCGATTCATCAATTATGTTCAACTTAATGAACATAATTCACTGATATTACTCACAAGTGTTCAAATACATGAAAACCTATACAACCAGGACAACTTTGGCATTAATGATGATTGTGTAGAAGCCAAGATATAAAGACCTCTTAATAAAACATTCTCAAGTAAAACTGATGACTAAATCAACTCAGAACTTATGACATTTGGGTCAAATCTACAAGAGTGGACAGACAATTAACCCGCCTCAAAAGCAAAAGACTAAATTTGAAGTGGATGTCAACTAAAACTAATTCCTTCAAAATAGCACTCACCGAATTGAATGAGGCATAACGAAAAACTCGATCCTCGTAAAGAATATCTTCATCTTCTCCGCCTAGAACCAAATTCCTCGCGGACCTAACCAATCCTCTCGCGGAGAACAATTCATCTTCCACTAAATCATCTCCCAATTTTCCAACAGAATCATTCGTTTTCTCAAACCACGATGAACCATTGCTGACATCATCATTAGCTCCATCCACAAGCCAGTCCTCCCACATCCTATTCTCCTCATTCTTGACTTCATCTTGTGCCTCCCTTAATTCAACTATAGCCTCGGCCCGCCTTTTCCATGCCTCAAATTTCTCATTTTCGGATAACTCGTCATCGCTAGTGACATCATCCGATTCAAGTTCATCAAGTAAATAGTTTTCCTTCAACCCGAGCCAATTTGCATCCTCGTCAAAAAAGAATCTCTGCCACCAACTCTTTTTTCCCTTCTTGTGCCTTTTCTTGGCATTTGGAACCAGCCCTCGAGATTTTCTCCTCCCACAATTCAGACGAATGAAAGCAGATGGCGCATTGCACGGTGAAAATGAATTATCGGAGCTAATATTATTGGATAAGACGAGATGTTGACATAGGACCATTGAGGTGCTCATGAAGAACATGTAACAGCTTCCACATTTTTCAGCCTCATAAAGCAGTAAAGACGCAATCCTGCTCAACAAAATTCGATGAACATGCGAAATCAGCCATCGTGACAAAATCAAACACGAAAGCCACACAATTGCACCATCATATTTCAACAAATACAGAACTCTGTAGTAGCCAAGAGATATAACTGGTGAATTATGCCAGAATAGAAAAGGAGAAAGAAACGAACTCAAGAAAATGCTGGAGCCCTGCTACTGCGAAGCTGGAATGCGGAAAATGTACAGTGAAGTACTTCAATAGGAACAAAAATGTTTAGAGGGTTTATCTATAGTGATATGCAAGGAGCCAAACGGAAGCGGATAAAGGTTTTGGCCTTTGTTTTTATGGGTGGGTTATTGGAACTTATGGTGGTGTAGATGCCACATTCGTGGATGTATTTCAGTAAGTATTGAAAACAAATACATGATACGTGTGTGTTGGACTATATATATCCATTCTATGTGAAATCCACCAATTTCTTTGGTTTGAAAATGCTTACAAATTTATCTTGCATTTGGACCTATGAATATATATATATTTTCGGTCAAAAGTATAGCTCAAACATGTTGAAAACTTGGACAATTTAATTGTCATAAGTTGAATGTACTAAAAATATTTATAAATCACAAAAGTTAAGGCCAATTTTTATTTTTTTTTAGTACAAAGAAGGAGGCTAAAGCCTAAGATAAATATGATGCTAGAATTCGTCTGGGATGAGACACCTCGCTCAGATCTTGGTGAAGCCAAGTACCCACGCCTATGGGAGGCGACGTTAAACGTTGCAAACCTAACGGGGAAGAATACGTTAAGCTCGCCATAAAGTCGGCCGCAAAATTAGCTTTTATGTGCACGTGTTGAACTCGTACGCTCCAGTCCCTTCGAATCAAATTGCGAATGGTCTTGACCAACGCTTCATTAGCTCCAAAACCCTCTCCGGTCCCGAGGATCATATTTGTTACACATTGGCTGTCAATCTCGGCGATAACTCGACGAAATCCTAAATCCCAAGCCATTTGTAGCCCTTGGAGAAGGCCCCAAAGCTCGGGGCCTGTGATGGTGGTGTACCCAATATTCATGACAAACCCGACAATCCATCTACCCACCTCGTCTTGAATCAGACCGCCCACACTGCTCAAGCCCGAACTAGCCTGAAATGCACCATCTGTATTCACTTTGGTCCACCCCGAAGCAGGTGGGGTCCAACGTATCAATCGTGTCACATACAAATCAGCCCCAATCCGGCGATAGGCCGTGGCTGCCCTGGCACTAGTTTCGGCCCGACTAAGAATCTCCATGCGCCGAGAGTCGCAACATAGTGTTCGGCAGTTAAAAATTCGATCATTCCGCCATCGCCACATACACCAAGCAGCTTGGATGAAAATGGTATGTTTCTTTTCTCGCCTTGCATCAGTTACAGTAATTTACATAATTGAAAAACAGAAGAAAAAAAAATCTACTCTCATATGGTAAACAGGAAAAGTTTGATCGAAAATCTGAAGCGTGAACTGGTGCATCAGATTTTTTGTCAGTCTCCTTCAACGTTAGGTGCACTAGTATCGGCGTTTTGGAGGGAATAGACCGTTGTGCATCAGTCGTCGTGCATCGATCGCTTCCATTTCCTTCAGGGCGGACCGTGACGCCCGAGCTCGAGGTCAACAACCGCTCCGTCAAGATCGAGGTCGAGACTTGGCCCCTCGATGGGCTCTCCGTCGATCTGAGTCGCACTGGAGATCGTAGCAGAATAGGGGGATCCAACAGGGAAGGGAATCAAGAGCGTGCGTGAGATGAACTGAACCAAGATCCATAACGATTGAGCTATGGAGAAGAACATGGTGGCGATGGCCTGCGAGGCTGAGAAGCTTCGTTTATAGCTTTTGGATGCGGAGAAGAAGGCCATGGCCGCAGTTTTGGGTCTTAATCCGCGATTTGATCAGATACTGAAAACAACAGCTTATATAATCAATCGAACATCATGTAAACAACTTTCTTATGACTGTCTTTATGAGAGACTATTCAAGAAGAAACTAGACATCTCAATGCTTAAGGCTTTTATTTGCTTATGTTACCCACATCTTAGACCTTTGATTAAGCATAAAATTGTGTTTAGATCCCAGCCATTATTTTTTCTTGGTTATAATTCTCAGGTTAAAGGCTACAAAAATCTTCTTCCAAACAATAAGGTCAGATAATTTCAGAGCATAAGAACACAAAACTTATAAAACAAAAATCGCCTAAATCTCACCATAAGAACAATCACCAAAATTTATAAAACAAAGTTGATTTGATAATAATTTAAATCTTTTATCGTTGCGCATTGTGTTAAATTTCTGAAGCATAACAACAAATGAACATTAAACACTAGAACAAATTTTTCGATTCATATGAACAAATGTTTTACCCAACGAATTTATATTTCGGTTTCATCTAAATTATGTTCCAACCATTCCTCGAGAAAACATTTTTCCATCCACAAAAAGGTGATCTAATAAAAACAAAAACAAAAAACAAAATTTGAAGAAATTGTCGTTCGTAGGATTAGCGTGGGATTATGGATCGAGAAATTTAGAGCTCCAATTTCTGTAGTCACCATCGTCGCTCTCGTCCAAACGCCCGACCACCATCTTGACGAACTTTTTTGGTGCAAGGGCTCCAATTTAGAGCTGGAACTTTTCTGTATGCACCACCTCGAAAATGTGATATATTATGTGTAGGAGAAGGGTATATTTGTCATTTATTTTTGAATCTTATACTTTTATCATGTTTAGTAAATGCTTGATGGGATTTGATTATAAATATATCATGTTTTGAAACATGATACAAAAGCTGACGTGTAAAGTTGATGGGATAAAACTGTCTCACATCTAGAGATTGGACAAGCTGCACGCTGCCCCACCGCCTCGTACCATCCCCGCTGCCGACTGTCCAGCACTCACGGCCCAGAGCCGTTGTATGGCTGAGACCCGAATAACCTTGGGTTAAGCTAAATACTGACGGATCCTTCAACCGACTTACCGGAGCTGCCGGAGGAGGAGGCCCGATTAGGGATCACAACGGAGATCTCATTACCGCTTTCCACGCCCCTCTTCAGGCCACCTCGAGTTATGATGTGGAAGTTCAGGCATTTCAGATCGGTTTTCAGATTGCAGCCTCTATCTCTTCTCACATTTGAATTGAGCTGGATGCTGCCGCTGTCGTCACCCTCTTGACCTCGGGCCACCAGGGTTCGTGACAGATTTAGCATCCGCTCATGCGCATTAGATCCACACTCCAGTCAGTCCGCTGCTGGCTATCGCACATCTTCCGCGAGGGGAACTGACCTGCTGACTTCCTTGCTTATATCGGTGCCTCCAATCCCCAGAGGCGTATCCTTCAGCCGGACGATGCTCCTCTCCGCCTCCGTACGCTTGTGAAAATGGATCAGATTGGTTACCCATCTTTCAGATTTGGGTAGTCGTATTGGGGTTTTATGTTTTAGGTCACTTGTGGAGCAGACTGTTTGCCTGAACACCTGTTAGGCGAGTTTCAGATTTTTTTGTTTTAGCTGTTGTTTTATTTTTCTTTCTCTTCTATTTCTGGCTTTGGTTGTTTTTGTTTGGGTATGAACTTGTAGAAATGTAATTTTCAGCCCATTTTGAGCCTGTTTATATACATGTTTTGGGTCTTGCCTTAGCTCCTACCCTTCCATGTATTTCTTTTAAAATAAATGTCTTATCCCATCAAGGTAAGTAAGACTATCTTTATCCCCAACCCAACCCAACCCAACCCAATAATAAAAAATTATTTCTCTCTCCTCTACCTACATAACCCAACTTTTAACAACCTACATATCTTTATCCCTAACCCAACCCAATCCAACCCAACATACTATTTATTTTATTTTTATTTATTAAATATTATCTACAATAGATTTTTTGTTATTTTTTTAGTTGTGATAAATTAATGAAAAAAATTATAATTAAAAATATTGATTTCAAAAAATTAATATTTTAAAATACAACTAAAAAAAATATTACAAACATAATTAAAAATTGAAATTACATAATTCGGTACGAAATAAACTAAACAAGTTACAAACATTTCAAATGAAATTACACATCAACTACCATTGCCAAATTTTTCCCATATGTGCTCAATCAAGTCATTTTTCAAAGTCACGTGAGCTTCTCTATTACGGAGTTGTGACCTATTGGTCATATACGTAGATAGGTTTGTGATTCTTTCAGTCGAGTATTGAAAAGGCATATCATCTTCCTCTTCTTCTACGTCATTTCTTCTGTTCCTTCTTTGTTGCCTCCGTCCGTTTGTAGGCCTCTCGTTCATAAATTCTGTAGGATCATAATAATTCAAGTAGGCATCCCGTTCATCTTCTACTATCATATTGTGCATGATGATACAAGCCATCATAATTCTTCCCATAAAAAAACAATCCCATACTAGACATGGTCGTTTGATAAATGCAAAATGAGCTTGTAGAACACCAAATGCGCGCTCAACATCTTTTCTAGCCGCCTCTTGGTGCTGAGCAAACAATTTGTGCTTTCGAAGTTGGGGGGAAGTAATTGATTTAACAAATGTAGCCCATGAAGGATATATACCATCAGTGAGGTAATATCCCATATTTCTGTGTTGACCACTCACAACGTAGCTAATTTCTGGTGCACGACCTTCCAAAATATCATCAAAAACAGGAGATTGGTGAAGTACATTGATATCGTTGCACGAACCTGGTGTTCCAAAAAATGCATGCCATATCCATAAGTCATATGATGTAACAGCTTCCAAAATAATTGTTGGTTTTCCACTTCTTCCGGCATATTGCCCAGCCCATGCTGTAGGACAATTTTTCCAACCCCAATGCATGCAGTCAATACTTCCCATCATTCCTGGGAATCCACGTTGCTCCTCCGCATTCAGTATTCTTGCCAAATCTTGTTCATTAGGCCTTCTGAGGTATTGGCTGCTGAAGTTAGAAATGACGCCTTCTACGAATTTCATGAGAGATTCCCTCGTTACAGCTTCACTTATTCGCAAGTATTCATCAACAGCATCCGCTGATGTTCCATAGGCTAACACCCTTATGGCTGCAATACATTTCTGCAATGGTGAAATGCCCAGCCTACCAGTGGCATCACGCTTTTGTTGAAAATATTCGTCGTTGGTGGTGATTTCGCTCACTATACGAAGAAAAAGATTCTTACGCATGCGAAATCTCCGACGGAATACCTCTTCAGGATAGGTTGGATTGTCGGAGAAGTAGTCATTGAACACATTCGCCTCTCCTCTCTCTCGTCGCCTCTCAATGACTTGCCTTCTACCTCTAGAAACGGGATTTGTTGGTTGTAAGACCATATTTGGAATACGAACAATCAAATCTTCCATAATATGATCAAATTGTTGATTTTGTTGAATCACTCGTTCTTCCCATTCATCAAATTCGATGAAATTGGAAGTTTTAGAACTATAACTTGAATTTTCAGGTGAGTTTTCAATGGAAGACATTTCTGAACAAGAACGAATTGTCTTACGAAAAAACAAAGTTATAATTGATATAAAGAAAATAGATATGATCTGATTTTGATATCAACTTGATCTGAATCCAACCATATTATATAGGAATGTAGTATGAAGAGTTGGTGTAGATTTAACTTAAAATAAAATTAAAGTAAATGTAAAAGAAAAGTAAAGTAAAGTTAATATAAAGAAAAGTAAAGTAAAGTAAAAGCAAAAGTAAAGTAAAATAAATAAAAGCTGCATGTGCATTCAATGAATGTAAATTTTATTGAATAAAACTGCTATTTGATCCGGATTCAATGCATGTGAATTTTGGAAGACAAAATAAAGCTGCTATTTGATAGTAATAACTCATACACTATATTCCAAATAGCTCTTGCTCATTCATTTAATAAGTGACTATTATACTAGTAGATAGGACAATCATTAAAGTAACATGTGATTTCTGAAAAAGATTAAAAAAAAAAACACTTACTAAATAGACTTTTATTGAATAACTTGAATTACAGGAATTGAAAAGCTTACATCAGAATAACTAAAACGACATAAATGAAAGCTGCATGATAATAAATTACATCGACTTTCCAAATAAAATTGAAGTTAAGTGACGTTTCATCTCTTCATCTTCCGGCGATAAGTGGTCTTTTGCCAACAGCGTATTCAACACCATCATATTCATTTTCCTAATCTTCCTTTCTTCTTTCTTGCGTTTCAACTCCATCCTATCGTTCGATATTTTTGTCATTAAATCATATTCGTTCTTTCTTGTAAGTCTTAGTGCACGAATTTCTGCAGTGAACTCATCAGGAATGGAAGAAGATTGTGATGCTACCTTTTTTCCTTTTTTTTTCGCCATATCTCTACCTTCGGGACGGGAAATCACAAAATCATCACTAACTGGAGTTTCTTGATTTGAGGGAATTGAATAATCTCCATCTTCAGTAGTCCTTGATCTTTTGGAACTGCCATGGCTTTCTTCATTACTCGTTTCATCTTCAGGGCGCGAACGAGTTGAATCACGATCTAATTTTAATTCCCATTTGGGATGCTTTCGCATGACTTTTTCAAACACATGCAAGTCTGTAAACTTGCTACCACCAGCTTCATAAATTACATGAGCTTCTTTTTCAACATCTTTCATGCTCATTCCGCTTCTTTTATTTCTGTATGCTTCCATGTAAGCACCTCTCCACTTGTTTACATTTTCATTAAGGCGTTTATAACGACCTTTCATTGAATCCAAATTTCTTTCACCAATTTCTTCTGGATTTTCCATTCGAGCTTGCTCAAACATTTTAGCTATGCGTGACCATAATGAAGAACCCTTCTGATTCTTGCCACACAGTTTATCTTTGCTAACGAAACACCAAGCTGACATTAGAGCAAGATCTTCCGCCACACTCCAACTAACATTTTTCGTTCCTTTTTTAGGATTTGTGCGTGTCTGTTGCACATTTTGAAATAGATTTCGAGAGATGTTTTGTGGGGGTTGGGCATTTACAGAAACTGGAAATTGGGTAAGATTAGGAGAAAATGGCTCTTGTGAATAATTTTCGAAATTCTGAAAATTTTCAGAGTTCGACAAATTTTGAGAATTGAGGTAATACTCAAAATTTGGATCCATATGGTATTTGTTGGAAATTAAGAGAAATAAAAGAGATGATAAAATTAATAGAGTATGATTAAGAAGAGGGTGAAAAGAGAGAAATTTCAGTTGTGATCTAAAACATATCAAGAGTGGTCTCTATATATAGAGAATGAAAAAATACGAATTTTGATATATATTTTTTTTTTAATATATAAATAAACTCAATTATTAAGTTATTTTATCTTATCACAATAAAATTATGACTTCCAATAAAAAAAGACATGTGTCCCATGCTTTATCTAACTACCAATAATTGAATTAAAAAAATAAAAAACAAAAAAAGAAAGCAACATGCGTCCAAATTCAAGAGCAATAATAGAATAAAAAAAAAAAAAAAAAAAAAGAAAGCAAAAAAAGTGTGTTGCCATCGGTTGCGACCCAAGGTCACCATCGGTCGCGTATTATCCCCTTTTTTTCTTTTATTTTTTTATTTTTTTATTTTTTTTGCTTTTTTTTGTCTTTTTAAGTCTAAATTAGACCAACATAGATGAAAGATGCATCTGACAAGTTCCAGTCAATAATCATGGAATACATCATCGAATAAGCTTAAACAAATGGTTATTTCATCCGACTAAAAATCTTACTTGAAAGTTATTTGAGTCTCTAACTCAATCTTATGTCAGTAAATTTTGCAGGATGAATCAACTTTTTTTCCAGTCAGCGAGCAATCAAACAAATGTATTTACTTTGCAGGATGAATCAACTTTTTCCAGTCAGCGAGCAATCGAACAAATGTACGAGTATTTACTTTGCAGGATGAATCAACTTTTTCCAGTCAGCCGAGCAATCGAACATATGTACGAGTTCATCGCCTAGACGATCAAATTACATTGGACCTAACAATAAGCTCATCACAATAAATAAATAAATATATAATAATTCCAGGAAACAAAAGGTTAACAGAAAAAAGAGTACCGTTTATAATAGGTCTTAAAGTTACAAGGGTATAAATTCTGCTGTTCATGTCCACCGTGGTCTGTACAGTATACAAAAAAACTTCAAAAATCTGCCTAAAATTTCTCATACAAAAGATCTGCAATTCATTGGGCGGAAGAGCAAGCCTCAATCTTGGGAAGAAGGCTTCGCCATGCCTCGGCTATACTGTTTGCAAGGCGTGCCTGACCCTTGGCGAATTCATGAAAAGCCAATCCCATGTCGAGTGTTTTCTGCTCTTGGAACCGAATAATCTCCTCATTCATCAACTGCACGATTTTGTCAAATCTTCTGGCTGCCTCAGCACCATCAGCTTTTAGCTGGCATTAAGGTGTGGATTAGATCAATCTGATAATAATAATTCTAGAACGAGAAAACGGAAAATGCCATGGTTTGCAACAACCTCTTCGTATTCATGCTCGGCTTCAGCCAATTTTTCGGATCGTGTTAATCTGAGCTTATTCCTGCAAAATGAGTGCAGAGTAATGAAACGACTAACAACAAACAGAAAGATCTTTGGCATGTCTTGAATACCAAATTGATGTGAAGCAAAGGTTTCTTTTAATATATTGATATAAATTCAAGGCTTCAGCACGTAGCTAAAGACTTTCAAGGACTGTACATGTCTATTTCCTTGAATTTGATTGTTTCGGCTAGTTCATAATGATGCCTGAACGCATTTGCTCTTTCACCTATCGTTGCCTGTCCAAAGATATAAACAACAGGCTCCATCATTGTCATTAAAAAAGAAGATAATTCTAACATCGACAATAATACTATACAGTTTTGCTATGAAGCCAACAGTTGGCTCCATAGTGGAGTCAACCTTCTATATACAAGTAAACCATACCATATTAATAAAATTATTAGTATTATTTAAGTAATCAGAGAATATGGTATGATTTACTTATTGTATATAGAAGGTTGGCTTCATAGCAAAACTCCAATACTATAATTGAGCATGTACTCCTTTCCCCCCACAAAGCAACCATGTGAACCTTCTCCATGCTACTAATCACATAATATACATTTTTCTATGGTGTCTATAGCAGCCGACTAGAAAGATGGAGTGCAAGTCTGCCAACTATGTTACGTATCTGAGTATCTCCAAAACAAATACAGTGCTTCTGTAGATAATAGAGGACATTAACTCACCTTAATAGATTGCACTGCCCGAACATAATCTTTTAGAGGTTCTTCAAAATTCATCAGGAGGTGGTGAGCCTAAAAGCAGAGCAGGATGGACGAGAGTTATAAATCATACAAATGATGGTATCATTGTGGAATACATTTAAACGCACCTCTTTTTGCAGCTTAATTGACAATATCTCTGATTTTGCACCAAGATCAGAAAATGCCTTCCCAAGAGCATTTCCTTCACAGTTGGCTAGCAGCTTTACTGCCTTACCGAAGTCTGATAAAGATTGTCCCAGTTCTGTAATAAATTACAAATATTGCATATCACGTTTACTATATTTTCAATAATTATTCGAAAATTAAAATGACACAGAAATAACACAAGTGAAAGGATTTGGTGGAAGAGACATGACAACGATTAAAAAATCAGATATTTTCTTGCTAACGACTTCCAACTCAGCCAGGAAAGCCAAAATAAACTATAATTTCCACAAACAACACATTTAATACCAAGTACTTAAAGTTTGCATATACCCCTGTGTCTCTTCACGAGACGGTAAGCATGCTTCTGGGCTTCAGCCAGGTGATCTTCGAGCTGAAAAATGTAATTCTTCAGCTTTTCATACTCTGGACTTGATTCTTCAACTGGTTTTTCCTTCCCAAGAACAACATCGCTTACTTTGGACTGTACGTCCTGCAAGCATGAAATATTTAGCCACAGTGATAAGACTATCTTGCCCAACAGCGCTTAAATAATTACTTAAGTTGCAATGCACAGAAACCAAGACATCCTTCAGCCAGAGGAAAATCAAATCGAATTTCTATCAGAAATTCTATCAGATGGTGGCAGTTCAATCTATAAAGCTGAATCTAGCAGTTTCAGATCTACTTCATCCAACTATGGTACTGATTGATTCTTATAATGCAAAAAAGATACCTTGAAAATTTGCATAAAATCTGCTGGCTTCTTGAAAATACCAGTTTCCTGGAATCTTGCTCTATCCATTGTCTGCAGATCAAGCAGAAACATTGTACACAATCAGACTAAGCTACGAGATTGTGATGCACATGCACAGGTATCATGTAAAAAACATAAAATGGGGTTAATTTAAATCTACATTTTGTTAGAATGTGAATTTCTTCTGTCACAATGAATTATGACTTGATCCTTTTAAACATAGCAGCAACGAAAGAAGAAGATAACTATGAAGTGGCTAACCAATTAACGAATGGCAATATTTAGCCTATATAAGCAGCAAAACCATCCCATTATGTGCTATCATTCAACATATATTGAGCATTGAGCCATTGAAATACCCCCCATGTCCTCAAAAGGCACATAATATACTTTCTCGTAGTAATTAGACACGAACTGCTTGGACAACTCTTAATCTTGAAGCTGTGGCAACTATTCTACATAACGTACATGGTTGATACATCTATGATTACTAAGGTTTGACTCTCCGCCTCCAGAACAGCAACTTTCAGATATTCAAGTCAGACTTTGGTTAAATTAAAGTTCCATCTTACACAATTACCTGTTCATCAGCCTGCAAGAATATTCTTAAATCATCACTTTTCTGAAGTTCATGATGTGAAGCTATCCGGTTGACAAAAACATCCAGTGCTTGGCGCCTCATCTCAATGAACTCGGTACTAAATCTGAACTTTTCTGCACCCATAAGAATGCCAGTATTAAATGCAGCACTGCATCAAGAAACTTGCATCTTGAAGGATAAAATATTAGTAATAATAATTCAATGTCACCACAAAAATTCACATTCACCCACCAGTCGGTGGAAGAAATGAATTATAGGGTGCACAAAAAATTGACAGACACAAAGGACTACCAAAACTTATCAATGAATCTGACATGTGGAAGCAATTAGCCATGTTTTTTTATGGTTGTACTGAAGTAGGTCAAATTTATACCTCCAATAGACTAATCTTCCAGAAGTTCAAAAAAATGTCATAAATAGAATACTACACCAATTTTCTTCCATGCAACATAAGTTGATGGCAATAAAGTTTGATTGAAGGGATTTCAACTCAGAAAATATATTTTTATAAAACAACAACAAAAACACCGGGAAAATGAATTTTTCTGCACCCTTAATTCTAATACAAAAATATAAAAATTTCACCATTTTGGAAATAATAATAATAAAAAAAACTAATGATGTAGAGACGGAAAATGGATGTGCAACCATTACCTACAGTGCTTTTCTCTGGAAGAGGAGGGATGAAGATACCCTTGTACTTTTCAAAAAGACGATCTCTTAACCAAACAAAATCACTGTACCTCCGGATAACAATTTTCTGAGAGCCCTCATATTCCGGAAAGTTTGTCTGCAAATCAAGTGACAACATTTTCTATATCATCAATATACATCGAGGAATGGAAATAAAAACTAGGTAATACAAACAAGTCACTGCAATATCGAACACTAAAAGAAAAAAAGAAAAAAAATCAAGCATGATCATGAGATACAGGTACTTTCATCCTAAATGGGAAGAGAGATCGAAAGCATTCAAAAGATCAATAAAAGAAAACTTTAAGGTTAAGCGTTATTTTAATAGGATATTGATAAGATATAGCTAAACTCATGGAAATTATAGCTACTGAGCGTGTGAAAATTTGGGTTCCTAAGGCATCCATTAACTACAAGTCCTGCGGTTGTTGCCAACGAGAAAGAATGAGACAGACCTAATAGGCTAATACTAATAGACTATTTAAGTGAACACTTTGTACTACAAAGGTCTCCATTCCCAAGAAAGATAACACCATCATCCTGTCATTTTCTTTTGGTAGGAATAACGAGACAAGCATGATGCGGTGCTGGCTAGACCAGTATTACAATTAGAAACAAGGTAATAGGATGATTCGTTTGGTACTTTTTTCCAAGTAAGATTTGCAGAATAGTACTTCTCTCGCAATGTACATAGAAAAACAACTTCATAACTAGTTCATATAAATTTCCACATTCCTACAAGTACCATAAAGATAATAGTCCATGTAAAAGATTTTGTTTTTCATGTTACAAAATGGCAATGTAGGCCAAGAGATGGTCACCAATTTGACTGCCAAGTGCCAACAACAACAACAACATATCATTTTAGTCCCAAGCAAGTTGGGGTAGGCTAGAGATGAAACCCAAGATATTCAATGGTAAGAGAAACACAAAAAGGGTTCAAAACAAAAGGAAGAGATTGGAGCAAAAAGAGAAAAGAGCAAAAGTCACGGTTTTGGCATGTTGATTGCTAGCCTCCAAGCGCTCCTATACACCACTAAATCCTTAGAGATATTTCAATCTTTAAGGTCTCTCTTAACCGACTCTTCTCAAGTGAGTTTAGGCCGACCTCTACCTCTCTTTACATCAGCGACCCGCTGTAGAACTCCCCTACGCACCGGTGCATCAGGAGGTCTCCGTTGGACATGTCCGAATAACCTCAGCTGATGTTGAACCAATTTCTCCTCAATTGGAGCCACCCGACCCTATCTCGAATATCCTCATTTCGGATTCTATCCCTTCTTGTGTGTTCGGAGAACCAACGCAACATACGCATCTGTGCTACACTTGTGCTACACTTAGTTGTTGGACATGTTTCCTTTTTGTAGGCCAACATTCAGCACCGTATAGCATCGTCGGGCGAATAGCCGTCTTATAGAACTTACCTTTTAGCCTTTGTGGCACCCTCTTATCACAGAAAACGCCCGAAGCTTGACGCCACTTCAACCAACCAGTTGCAATTCTATGCCTAACATCAACATCAATGCCGCCATCCTTTTGTAGCATCGATCCTAAATACCGGAAAGTCTCCTTCTTGGCCACCACTTGCCCGTCAAGGCTAACGTCACCATCATCATGTGTAGCCATGCTGAAAGCGCACATCATGTACTCGGTCTTCGTCCTCGTCCTACTAAGTCTGAAGCCTTTCGATTCTAAGTCATGTACTCGGTCTTCGTCCTACCAAGTCTGACTGCCAAGTGCCAACCTCAACAAATCTAAAATGGATCATTGTTGCACCATTATACGTCAAACATGGGTGCAGATCAACATAGAGAATATGCAAAATTCAAATTTAAGATATTGACAAGATGAATCCTTTTTACCTTACCAACTAACACTACATGAGCTATTCTCAGATAGTTCAGCTAACAATGTATTTCACAAAAAAATTAAACCCAGATCTCGGAGAAAAAGAAGGCCACAATCCATGGGGCTTCTAAGCTGAACAAGTCATGCTACAGAGAAAGTCATGTTTACTGGCAACCAGTAAACTAGTAGGATTCTTTAGTGTTACGGACTCAAACCATGCATTAAATTCATTAAACTTTTAGAAAAATGGGATGAAAGTCCTATTAGTGTTAACGATGTCTACTAAGATGATTTTATTATTACATCCTGGGGGAGTCGTGCAACTTAGTCAGGGTGCCACATGCAAATAACTCAAGCCGATATGATAACTGATACTGATATGTTAAAGCAATTAATTCTAAACATAGGGAATCAATAACGTCGTAATTATTTTAGTACCAGAATTTCTTTAGATTCACATGTTGATAAAGATCGATTGGAGGCAATACTACTGAAGACAGCAGAACAGTACCAAAAAAAAAAAAAAAAANCCAAAAAAAAAAAAAAAAAAGGTACGCCACAATGAATTTGAAAGATTGTGATGCGATACAATTGGAGCCATCAATAAGATCCGGATTCAGCTAATGGTCGTGGAATGCTAAATTGCAAAAAATTCTAAGGCTTACTTTCCCAGTGGATACAGCCAGATTGAAATAACACAGATTTTCTGCTATTCTTTATTTCATGGCCTTTTTATTTCTAAGTGAACAACATACAATATCAAATTATCAACAATACCCCCACTCCCATTATAATAATTAATTTACCAATCCTCCTTGTTCCGTGCCCTATTGGGTTCACACATATTCATTGCAGTTTCTCAGTTGGCTACCTATCAATAGAAGCCAATATCAGAGAGTTGAGATACTGACACATATAGGGATGTTAAGACATCAATGGCTTGCAAGACCAACACAGCTCATGCATGAGATCCAGAAACTTACCATTACCCAATTAACCTACAAAGTCTTGTAAAACCTAGTAACTTATCCGTCAGAACTCTCTTTGCACGCTCATAAATGCATCAGATTCAAGAAATGACTAAACCCAAAAAAAATGCACCAATTCTCCCAATCTTAACTATTAATGTACATGCAAATGGGTGAATAATTACAGGTGATATGTTTCCCTTATAGAGCGAAGGGTAAACTCAAAATCACATCCGAATGACATTGAATTTTCAACAAATACACTAACTCTAATCATAAACGGAGCAAGCTCATGATTATACGGCACCGTTCACGAGCAAAGACGAAAATTAAACCTTAGTAATGACTTTGTAAGAAATGTAAGCTTGAACTCCATTGCCCATTTTAGCCGGGTCCGATACCGATACAGTCAAATACGGAGTCTGCAAGGACAGCGATCGAGGGCTTTGAACAGAAGGACCCGAACCACTTCTCTGGTGTGCATTCATCTGAATTTAGCAATTTCGGAATGAGCAATCAATTTTGAGGGAGTACAGAAGAAAAAAATAAAAATAAAAAATAACATCGATCAAACAATAAAGAGGGTCGTGGCATGCTTTGATGATTACCGTGGTGATCATATTGTCCTTGTCCGGAAAAGGGTGGGCGTAACCCTAAATTACGCCGGCGGGTGGAGCTCGAAGTTCCGGTGGAATCGAGATTCAGAGTTGGGTACTTGGGTGTGGTTGCAGTCAGCTGCGTGGCGGCGAGGGGGCACGTTTACGGAGAGGAGTCTTTGATTTTTTAGAAAATAGCTGCCAAATAGTAAGGAGATGTTTGTTTATGGAATTTGTCAAAAAAATTCCAACATTTTAACCCAATCAATTTTATTAACTCAACTCTTGGGTGGAATGGGGTTTTTTGGTTAAAGTTTGTCTGCATATGGGCTTTTGTCACCATTTTGTTGCCTGGATTTTTGCTTGTATTAGCTCAGCCACTTTTTCCTTTAATGTGAATGGGCAAGTCTTGGGTTCTGTTGTTCCTTCTAGAGGATTAAGGCAGAGTGATCCACTATCACCCTATCTATTTATAATCCTCTCAGAAGCTCTGTCTAACTTGCTTAATCAGGCTAGTATTAATGCTTCTATCAAAGGTCTTAGGATAAGTAAACATGCTCCTGTGTTGACACATCTATTTTTTGCAGATGATGCACTTCTTTTTTGTGAAGCTTCTCCTTCTCAAGCCTCAACTGTTCTTAATATTCTTCAGGACTATGGAGTTGCCTCTGGGCAGCAAGTTAACCTCAGTAAATCCTCTCTTTTCTTTTCCAAAAACACTCCTCTTAGTATTAAAACTGCTATTTGTAATTCTCTGATTGGGATTTCTTGTGTTTCTTCTGCTAAATATCTAGGGCTTCCCCTTAGGATTGGAAAATCCAAAAGAGATACATTTAAATATGTGAGTGAGAGTGTGAGGAATAGAGTTCAGAACTGGAAAAACAAGTTCCTGAGTGAGGCGGGCAAAGAGATTTTGATCAAGACAGTGCTAGGGGCTCTGCCTATTTATGCAATGTCTTGTTTCAAAATCCCTGAGTCTGTTTGTGAGGAGATGTGCAGATCATCTGCTGCTTTTTGGGGGGGTTCTACTGATAATGGATCTAAGAAAATCCACTGGGCTTCTTGGGATAAATTAGCTAGGAAAAAAGATAAGGGAGGGCTTGGTTTTAAAAATCTGAGTGTGTTTAATAAAGCTCTGCTAGCTAAACAATTGTGGAGGGTCTTGCTTAACCCTAATTTGCTTATGAGTAAGATTATTAGAGGTAGATACTTGTTCAAGGAGAATCTGTTTGAGGTTAAGAAGAAGAGTGGTGACTCGTGGATGTGGAAGTGTTGGTTGGGAGCGAGGGAGGAGTTAAAACTAGGTCTTAGGTATAAAGTAGGAGATGGCAAGTCTGTGGATATTTGGGAATCCCCTTGGATTCCCAATTTGAGGTCCTTTAAACCTTCCTATAATTTTCCAGATGATAGAGTGAGACTCAGAAAAGTGGAGGATCTGTTTCTAAAGGATAAAAAGGAGTGGGACAAAGAGCTTATACAACAAACCTTTAATCCAATGGAAGCTGAAGCCATTCTCAAGATTCCCATTAGCAAACTGGGACTCAAAGACAAGATAGTCTGGCACTTTACAAAGGATGGTGTGTTCACTGTAAATTCTGCTTATGAGGCCATTTTGAGGAACTTAGAGGATCATCAACAACAACCTTCTTCAAGTACCAGTCAGGACAAAAGTGGGCAAATGTGGAAAAATAGCTGGAAACTCCCAATCAAACAAAAGATCAAGAATTTTTTATGGAGATGCTACAATGGATACCTTGGGACAAAGCTGCAGCTGAGGAGAAGGGGAATTGAGGTGGACCAAATCTGTGGCATTTGTGGGGAAGGTGAGGAGGATATACACCATTTGCTGTTTCATTGTCCTAGAGCTAAGAGGTGCTGGAAATTGGCAGGTATCACTTGGTTTGGTACTCAGGATAGCCACTTCTCGTATCAAGATTGGTGGAAAGAACTCAACACAGCCAAGGATATTAACTGTATGAAAGACAGAATCAGTTTGTCTTCTTATTTGATGTGGTGGCTGTGGAAAACACGGAATAATTGGCTTTTTGAAGAGAAATTAATGCCTGAGAAATTGGTGGTGGAAGGGGCCTTCAGGGAAATGAAAGAATTTGATGATGCAACTAGTCAATGTATTGATCGAGGGGACGAAACAGAAGATGCTGTACCTTGTGAAGAACAATTTTCCCGGGGAGTAGGTCAAGACCTTGGTATTGTCAGTGCTCATGTTTCTTCTCAAGGCAGGGTCGGGCTTGGGTGTACTATATGGCAAGAAGAGCAGCTGATATATGAATGGAGCAGATCAGGGTTGTGGGCAGCAACATTGGAGCAAGCTACACTTTTGGGAGTTCGGTGGTTTTTGGAAGAAGCTAAAAATAAGGGTTGGGCAGCTGTATCGTGCATGATCAAATTAGCAGGAGTGGTGCGGCAGCTCCAGGGTGATACATATGCGGCGGCTTCTTCTAATATAGTGATCGATGATATTATGTTGTTGAAAGATAATTTTCACTCTTGTAATTTTTCAGTGGACTCTTCTTCTAATATGTCTTCTTGTTTTCTGGCCAAAAGGGCTTGTGAGGGGGATGTGTACTAAATCCCTCGTAGTTCATTGCTATTAACAGTTGTTGATAGGTTTGGACTGTATCATAACCAGTTGGTTATCGCGTTGTAAACTTTTTGTGAGTTAATAGATCGTCAATTTCGTTTCGGAAAAAAAAAAAAACTCTACTATCATCAAAATTATTAATATAATTAAATAATATTAATCAATCATTCATACAACAACATCAACCTTAATTCACTATTCATCCACTCAGATTATTTTAACTAACCATCACTTCAAATCTCTCGCTCCTACTTTTACATAAAATCAATTTTAATTATTTTATTTTAAATATTATTTTAATATACCCACTAACATCTAACTATACCACCTTTTTCAAAATAACCAAACCAAACCGAAAACTCCAAACAAAACCAAAAATTTTTATAAACAAACATGTTCTAAACTTTTTCACCTCAAGTGCAACACAAATTATACCATAAGGAGGCGAAGTTAATTGATGATAAAGGTTGGGATCTATAAAGATTGTCGTAATCATGCAAGTTACAAAATTTATTTACGAATTAACCTATGCGCAACAGATCTATAGGTTAAGGTAGAAGGCTTAAGATCTATAGTTTAAATCAGCGAAGCGCAGCTTGATGGCAAGACGCTTCATCTATGACCGATAGGTCATAGGTTCGAGTCACCGAGGAGAGGAAGTGGGAATACTATTAATCTTCCTATATAAAAAAAAAAAAAAAAAAAAAAGTAGAAGGCTTATGGTTTAATAATTTGGAGATCATCTAAACCTCAGTCCGTTGGGTTGCCGGACTAGCCTCGTCAGAACGTTGTGGGTAGCGTGTGTGCGGTTGCCGAGAAGCAGCGGGTCGTTGGGATGGGTCGCTGGGAGCCGCGAGACGGCGGCGGTGGTGTCGCGGTGGTGCTGGGTGGCCAACGATGATCGGGTGCTCAGGCTACGAGTAGGGTGCTCGACTACCTTCACCTTCTATTGAATTACCTAACACCTCTAGAGCTCTGTTGGTGGGAGTTAAACTCTAGATATTTCTATGTGTTGTATCTCTAGAAAGACTAGAGAAGAAGCCTATTTATAGGCTTCAATAGGAACCCTAAGGAGACATTAAATTGGGTTTGCCATAGGGCCTAACTGTGGGCCAAGCCTACTTAGCTCAAATATGAATAATACAATCATTCCACTAAAGTAATATCACGATTTGAGCTTTACTTCTAAAGTACTCGAATTACCTCCCCATGTTTAAGATATAACTAGTGCGTGAGCCGTGTGATGCACGGGCTGTATTTATTTGGGAAATATTACATTTTAAGATATATAAATAAATAAAAGAGTTATATTAGGTAGGCAAATTGTACAATCAGATAATGTTCAACAAAACAAAATCATATATTATTAAATACTTACTTGTACACAGTATTATCTGTTTGATTATAGGGCAACTCTTTGTTCGGACGTACTAATATTTTCAACCTCTTTCTATTAGTTACACGCGAAACAACAACATATTATTGGTCATGACTAAAGACAGGTTTCTTCAAAACTATCCCAATGTGAAATAAAGACTGACCCTGACTATTCAAAAACAGATCTGTATAACCGTATGTCTACTTTGTTTGTACACGACTCTGTTTCACCCCCGATTTTTTGCATCATCTATCTTGCATCTTTTTGTATGTTCTTTTGGCTGCTTGGTTTCCTCTACTGTGCATGTCTATTTACTCTTAAATTATCTATCTTGCATCTTTTTGTATGTTCTTTTGGCTGCTTGGTTTCCTCTACTGTGCATGTCTATTTACTCTTAAATTATCTATCTGCTGCTATTGAAAAATAAATTATTTATGAATTATGAAATAATAGAAATTGAGCAAGAAGTAGAGAGATGGAAAAACATAAACACAACCTTCAATTGCGTGTCTGTTGAAAAGAATAAAAACCTAGAATGAGACAACATATATATATATATATATATGTGTGTGTGTGTGTGTGTGTGTATCAATAGTGGTTTCGTTAAGATATAATAAAAAAGATCACTATATCTTGTCATTATCGAATTAGTTATATATAGGATAACAAAATCAGATTTAATGTCAACAGAATTCCTGAATAATGTTTAGATAGTTTCCTTTTAAATTATAACGTGTGAATAAAACTTATCGGGTTCTTTGTATTATTTTAAATTTGTTTGACTAGTAAATTCATAGTTTCTTGTGAATAAAGGAGTCCATTTTGTTTACACAGTAATGCTAAGGAGCCAACTGTTGGCTCCGTTATAGAGCCAACAGCCAATGGGACAGCTCTATGTGGGGCTGTCTCATATGGCTCCAATGTCGGACAGCCCCACATGGAGCTATCTCATTGACTGTTGGCTCCTTAACATTACTATTTGTTTACATTAAAAACATTGTCTATTATATGTTCCTTTACAACGTAATGTGCATGGACAATTCACTATCTACATAAAGACATTGGTCTTGTTTGGCGATCAGCGGATAGCGGATAGTGGATTATATTAGCTGATTTGACCAGCGAATTGCATCAGCGATTTTTAAATAAGTGTTTGGTAAATAGCTGAAAGATTATAACTGTTTGACATTGCAAAATGACCAGTAAGGACATTTTATTACTTAGGGTGTATTCTTTTAATAATAATAATATATTAAAACATTTAAT